CTTCAGACTCTACTGCAGTGAGGTCAGTGGTGCTCTCTACCATCACCAGAGGGATCACTAGAAAGTGACACGTATTCATTTCTCCCAGCAATTATGTCTGCTGCCTCCATAGCTCTCTCAGCCTCTATTGGTAGCGGAGTAAGTGGACCCAAATTGAAATCCCCATGAAATAGGCTAAATCACATAACTAATGTGTAAATTTAAGTTCGTATTGATGTAATGTAAATAAAGTGTACATGACAAGGCTGTGTGGCATAAAGTCTTTAAAGGCATTGTTACCTGAGGTTCTTTCAACCCAAACCCCCGGTAAATTTTACTCTCTGCGAGGTAGTGTCAGGAAATAATTCAGGGGAGACACGGTCGTCCGACCGATAGATGGATGGTACAAACAGGACAACACAAGAGTGCTTTCACTTAAAGCTAAACTTTACTTAGTTTCAAGCACTTACACACGTCTGCAACAGGGTAGTAAAACACCCGCACCCTCGATAATTACCAAAGTTGAGTGTGGCTCTCGAGTGACACCGAGCAGGCTTCCGATGGCCAGTCTTCCGTCTGCTAGTGGTGACGAAGATGTGTCCAGAAGTGAAGAGTCCTCAAGAAGTCCTCGAGGCGTCCCTTCCAAGTGTTCCCAAAATTGCCCCCCCCCCCAACTCAAACTTTCCTTCCCTATTTATCCATTAGTATTTTACAATAACTCAAAAACTTGTTAGGCAAGCACTTTTTCAAGATTAGGCAAGAGGTTCTCTTCTGATCATCACTTTCACCAGATGCATTTTTTCTTTTTCAGAGACTCCATGCTCAGGGGCCCTGACAGATATATGTTTTAAGGCATTTAGACAAACTTCCTGTTTTTCTTAATGTATAGCTCAGCGATTTCACTAGAGATTTGGGCCTCAGGAAGGACGCGGGGTCAGGCTGCCCTCTCTGTGGCACCCAAACTCCGCTTCTTCCTCCTCCCTGACTTGGTCATGCTGTCTAGGCCTATTTTGGGCCTGTTAGCTTGGTTGCTGTTCAGGCACATTACTGGGTTTGCTGAAATCTCCCCGTACAGCATGAGTGTGGGATGACCGTGTTTCTTGCAAGCAGAAAAATCATCAGTAGGTAAGTCATGTAGAACTTCCAACATGAGTGCTGGGAAATCCTTTTTCCCATTCCACACTCTCATGTAATTCATATGCGGCTTATTTATATTACGGCAAATATGTGTTTGCAAATGTGAGAGTTTATGTTGTTTGTATAAACTGTCTTATCTCTCCTCTTTTAAAAATACCTTAATACCAGAGCTCGCAGGATACTGTAAAAACATTATCTATGAATATATGCTTACATTTTTAATATATATTTGAGATGACCATATTTATGTATTTTTTTTTACTGCAATTTTGCAAATATTCGTGTGAAAAGTCTTTAGTTAGCATTTGGGTGGACTGCTTTCAACCACTCATTTCAATCATGATTTAAACCATTGATTTTAATCTCATTGTGCATTTGTACTTTTTAGTTATTTCTCTTTTTTAAAAAAATTGCTTCTCATAGCTTGGAAATGACTGTTAAAAAGTGTTGGTTTATAAAAAATATAGCCTTTGCATTATATTTGGTGCTTCCTTTTTTTTCAGTAGCTAAGCAGATACATAGTGTCTGCACACCATCTACACATATGTAAGCTATGATTATGTTTATTATTATGTTTACAATTTGTATTATGTTACAGTGGTGAATGATGCATTTCTTATTTACTAGATGATAATTAATTTTTACTTGGGCTTTATTTCAAGCTCTATTTGGATGCAAATGCAAATTAAATTAAAAATGCACAGGCCCAGCACTCTTTTTCCTTAAATGGGCTGGATAGAGAAGGAAAAAAAATATTTCAGAAAGTTTATCAAAATATATTTTGCATTTAAAACATAATTGATTTGTTAAACAAAGGAAGTATTATCTGTAGTTATTGAATTAAACTGATTGTTTCTAGTTACCATGTCCTTCAAAATTTTAGAACTAATAGAACTCATCCTCTTACATCTAGTTTTTATTCAAATATTGGAAGAGGAAAACAATGTTTTTCTACTTTTTCAACTCCTGATTAATTTCTTTCTTTGAATGAGTCATTGAAATGAGCAATTTGAATAAACTGAAATTAGTAAAATATTTTCACTGCAGCTGCAGAAAAGAATACTTTTGACAAAAGCTAGTTTCGTACTCCAGATCGTCAACCATTTCAGTGGTTTGACTTTAAACCTTGGCAGCAAATACACTGCTTCCAATTATTTTTAAAATGTAATATAAATGATTCATAGAATATAATAAGTTTAGGCCTTAACATAAACATTCATAATTTCAAATTTAATTTTAAATAGGTTTATTTTTCCAAAAGAAACATGTACTTCAATTTTAAAATATTTAATTTTAAATTTTAAAAATCCATTAATATTTGGAGAATGGCTGGCTATTCATACAGATATCCATATGTGGAAAGCTTTCTTGTGGATGAACAAGAATATTCGTTATTCTTAGTAAGCCTGTTAGTGTTTATTCTTCTATTTGAAAAGTTTCTCAGCAAATCAAGGAACAGAAATCAATTCATTTGACTTAGTGGACCCATGAATAGAGCAATATGAATAAAAAATTTAAAAGTGAATATAGGTTGAACCTCTGAAATCTGAGACTCTCTAGTCCGGCAACATCTGTATTCCAGCAGGACCATGGACATTGCTGGACCAGAGAGCCCCAGTGGACCAGTTTCAGAAGCACAGCCAAGGCTGGGCTGATGGTGAGGAGCACAGTACCAGCAGGGCCAGAGCGGTGGGGAGCACAGCCTCGGCCAGGGCTGATGCCAAGGAATGCAGCCCCAGCTAGGGCTGGAGGCAGTAGAGCCAGCAGTCAGAAGTGCAATCCCTCCCAGGGCTGGTGTGGTGGGGAGCACAGCTCTGGTCAGGGCTGGAGGCAGGGCCAGAAGCTGGTCGTGTAGCCCAGGCTGGCGCCAGGGGAAGCACGACCCTAGCTGAGACTGGAGGCAGCGGGACAGGCGACAGGGAGTGCAGCTCCATCCGGGAGCAGAGCCTACAGCCAGGTGGGGGACCTTGACCTCCCCTGGTCCAACAAACTCCATAGTTCGGGACCACTCCGGTCCCGAGGGTACTGGACAAGGGAGGTCCAACCTGTAGTTCACAGACAGTCAAGAGGATGAAACTTATTCATCCAGGTCACACAGTAAATACTTAGGAATAGCAAATATGTTTGTAAAATTTACCTTGCCTGACAAAAACTTCACAAACGGGGGAAAAAAGGGTAAATGGGGGTTCATCTGCACAGTAAAAGCTGCATATTGGCTAACCTGCCCAAGCTATCTTGAATCTAACTAGCTCAGGTAAATAGTAGCAATAGAAACTAGTAGTACAGGCTTCACCGTGGGTAGCACAAGCCTGGCACAAACCGTGGGTACTACATACTTTGCTCATTTTGTCTGGCTTCTCTGCTAATGTAACTTACACCAGCCAGATTCAAAGAAGCTTGGTAGACTAGCCTGTGCACTGCTTCTGCTGGATAGACATGCTGAGATTAGTGATGTATTCACAATGACTACTACTGACAGCTCTATCTAGCCTCACCTTCTCAGGTTCGGAGGTTGAGAAGAATTAAGAATGAATTTTAGAATCTTCTACAGCTCAGCCTCAAATAGCATTTCAATACATAATGTGATTATATGGTCCAATCATTTAGGACTTTCCAGAGCAGTAAGCATATTCAGTGGGTCCCATTTGGAAACTAAGAATATCCTCTTTCCTTTAGGAATATAATTCTCCACATGGGTTCAAACTCCAGACCTTAAACCAGTTGCTGTTCCAGGGCTGAAAATTGCTATTCAAGCCTTGGGCAATTTGAGGGCAAAAAAGGAAGTAGTTTCATGAATGGTGATTTTTTAAAAAGGCTGGAGGGGCAGCTGTTGAAACTGCCCTGAGAATTAGAATAACAGAAATCCCTGAGATCCTGGTTTACTGAGCATAGTCCAGAGAAGATAATAATGCAGTTTTTATCTTGGACACTACCACAGGGCAGAGTCTGATATAAAGGATTTATTGCATGAGTTTGGGTTGATTTATTTCTTCACTTGTGACTTACACAGCACATCACAAACAAGCCTGGGTGCTGAACAAAGCTTTATGTATTCTGTAGATGCCATGTACATTATAGGGAAAATATTTCAGGAAAATGTAGAGAGTTTTTTAAATGTATTGGAACAGTATGTCACCTGTCTTCATCTGCAGAGCCAGGGCCCTTAAGTACACAAATCCACCAGTGCTGGGCACAGTGGAAGGAAAATATTAAAACTAATAAATATCAAAACCCTACAAATGACCCAAAATAGCCTATGAATAACATTACATTAATTGGGATATCTTGGGCACAGTCAGGGCTAGGAGTACTGCTTGGCCCATTAGGAAGTTAGGAACCTGTCCTTCCCCGTAAGATAAATCTCTCCTTTCTTCCATTGCAAAATATGAGGTGTTAAAGCAGTGATATTTGTATAGATAGAAAACTTGTCCCTTAGGCAATATGGAACCTCCATGTCATGGGGAGGTGTGATTTTTAAGTAGGAAGTATGCATCTGTGAGGAGAAGTAGGAATTGTTTCTCAAGCTTGTTGAATCCTTTTAAATGGTAGTTGTTTGAAGATGCACAATGTTTTCAAATATTAGGATAAGCCTTAAGAAAGAGGATTTGTGGTATATTGATTATGCAGGCCTCTGATAAATTTATTTAGCATATACCTATGCAATCCAATGCAGGGATATCGGTTCTAAATATATGGTACATGCTATTTTATAAAATGGACATTATAAAGAATGTATCTGACTGGGTGACAGAAGTTCATGCTGGAGAGATTTTATCACAGTGGTTGAGAGCTTATTAAGCTAATTTTACAAAGTACTTCGGGGCAGATCCTGGGTGTTCAGCACCTGCATAGCTTCTCTCAGGACATGACTTTTTATATTTCAGGAGGAGATAGTAACAGCAAACACCACATTCCTTATGTGTTCAAAGACACCTGATCTCCATCTTTGGTGCCTCACAGCAACCTGAGGTATGTGGATTTCTGAACCTTTCATAGGCATTTGTGGTCCTTGTGACCACCCTCAGTGGAAAACCTCTGTTTCAGTGTTTGTGAGGGAACAGGAAGTCCATGAGTCCATGGGTCAGTCATGTAAGTACCACTATAAATAGACTGTTGTAAATGAGAGGACAAATTGCTCTCATTTGTGCCAGACAGACATATAGTACGTGCGATTTATCAGGCAAACACTCTCAGTGTATGCAAAATAAGCTTCCCATGAGCCCTGGAAAAAATAGCAAAAAAAAAGCAACTCTTTGTTATTGCAGTAGTCACGAGGTATTGAGCTATGTAAGCTAAGGGTATCCATAAAAGCACTCATAAACTAAGGAGATTCACTGTCTGTGTCTTCTGCCTTCTATCAGAACACCAGAGACATCACTGTTCAAGAGCTTTAGAGCTGTGTAAGACTTAGATAACTTTTATCCTCACTTTGCTGAAAAATGACCTGCCAAAGGCCCATCCTATTCTAGTTAAACCCAAGGAAATGTTACATCTACAGAGTCAGTGTCACAGCCTGTTGCAGCTGCATATCCTGGCTGAATTCCCCAGCTACTCATCCTGAGCATAGAAAAACTCCTTCAGGGCAGACCATATTGCTGGACATTCCTTCCCTTTACCAGAGGCAGTCACAGATTCACTAAGGAAGTATCCTTGGAATGAGTTGCATGATGCCTCCCAAACATCCATGCAGGCAGCAGTCAAGAAGATTGAACAGGGCCACTTAGCCCCAACGGTGATCTCCAGTCTGACATCTTTGAAGCTAGCATGGATTCCCTCTGCTAAGCTAGTTATAGGACCATCTGAGTCTTATGTGCCCTCAAGAGTGTTTGTTACATGTGAAATACATTAACCATGGGTAAAATAATGTGTGACTTTAGGGAATGTTTGTACATTTTTGCAAATAATCTTTTTCTTTTCTTTTCCTTTTCCCTTTCCCTTTCCTTACTTACTTACTTACTTATAGTAATTAGGGTTGGAATCTGTGTGGTAGCTTCTTCATCATTGTTACAGATCTGGCCTGAATTTAGGTTTCTCTTCTGTGCAGGCAGAAACCCAGTAAGAAAACCTGTGATTTCTCCTGAGCTTACCAGACTGACAGCCTGGAAGAAGGAAGTGAAGGAGGATGTAGGGAGTCATTGGGCTAACAATGATCAGCAGTCACACTCAAAATGTCTATCCAATCAAGGAAGGCATATTGTGCACAGAGGTCTCACCTCATTGTATACGCTGTAGCATCTTGGCACTTGCAGATGCTGTGCTTGCTGTCAATCAATCTCTGACAGCCAGCATTGCTTCTGTAAGTATTTAATTCCCCTCTGTGCTTGGTATGAACTGAGATTAGGAAATAAGAGTTAACTGAAATTGTGGGAGAAAGGCTGAGAGAGTTTATCATAATAAAGGCAAGCTAAAGGTAAACCAAAATTGTGACCCTGCACTTACATGTTACCCTGATGGGTGACATGGACAGAAAATGCAAGAAAATAAATTTAGATGATTATCATAAAGTAAGTAAATCTGAGTACAGCAAATAAGTGGAATGTTAAAGGACAAAAGATGAGTAAGGGGCAGCCAAATGGTAAGAAAAGGAAAAGGGAAAAATGAGGTGAAGCAACCAGGTACATTTATAATGCATTCATTCATAAAAATATCCATTCTAAAAGATATGGGGCTGATTTTGAAAACTGCCTAACTGAAATAGATGCACAAATCTCATTGAAATAAAACAGGACGGGTGCTCCTAACTCAGGTAGCTGCTTTTGAAAAATCCCACCTTATATTCTTAACAGCATACATTAATGCTAATGAGAGTTTCCTGACTAAAAGCCTACAAATCAAGGTTAAAATAGAGCACTTCGTTAAATGCTAATGCATATATTGTAGTGTGTGTGTGGCTGAGGGGCAGAATTTTTTCTGGGTTATGGGTGGGGCTGGTAACGGTGCCAGTTGTTAAGTTGGCCCATTTCTCATTAGAAGACCTGTTTTAAGTTGCTTATAACGTTGCCAAATTTTAAACATTTGGGTTGAATTTTTCTATACTGCATATGTTATTTAGACTGAGTTGTTGTGGAAATTTTCATCCAAAGCTGTTAAGTCATATCCAGAAATGAAGCTAGGGAAAAAATAAGGGGTTTTGCCCATGTTAAAATATTCTGGTAACTTTTTCTTTGAATGGCTGTAACACCCCCATGCTTTGAAGTAAGGACTTGAAATTTGGTCATGAGGTAACCTTCCTTTTTGCATCCTGGTGAAAATCTGTCCACATTTGTCCAAGCTATAAGCCTCTGAAAAATCACTGTTACCGATGTTCAGTAGAGATATGCTAGTCTCGATTTCTGGAGATCTTGTCCACACTGAGCATTCTGCAGCTGGGAGCTGAGCAGGACTATCCCTGCAATCACAATTCTGGGTAGCTGCAGACTGTGCTGGGTTGGTATTTCGGCACCAGAGTAGGAAGAGTCAGTTTCTCCTGTGTTGTCATTGCCTGCCCCTCCTGCCCTACTGATAGGGTTGCCAGGTGTCCAGTTTTGAACCGAACAGTCCAGTATTTGAGCTTTCTGTTCAGGAAACAAATTGAGAAAATAGAAATGTCCAGTATTTTCTAAATAAGATGTAATGTAGATTTTGATGTAACGTCAAGTGTGTCCGGTATTTTTGTTGAAACCATCTGGCAACCCTACCCACTAACAGTTGTGGTGACTTGCCTCTAAAATGTAGCAAAGAACATAATGGGCCTGATTCTTGATTGCTTTGTGGAGTTACTGTCACTAGTTCAAAATGGGTGTATGATGTCACCAAACCAGAAATCAGAATGTTCTAACACCAATAGGAATATTTTTCAGTCATTTTGCATGGTCATAAAGGGGCAAAGCAGTGGGAAATGCTTTCTGAATTTGCTGGAAACCAAAATCTCACTGGGACTAAGTCCTCGTGGCAAAATTCAAACTGAAGCAAAATATAATGACTCTTATCCCCCACCCCACCCCCACACACACCCGCAATAGGTTTATTTTTTTTAACTTGGTCAGATGCTCACTTAACAGTAACTGAGCTATTAAAATAAAATTTGTGTTTACCTACTTCTGCCTAGAAGATTTGGAATCGAACAGATCTGTTAGCAGTGAGGCAAGAGTTGCTGTGTCCATATTCCTGATCTGCCCTGGAATATTCTTCTAGGAGGTGGGAAGGAGGAGAAAAATTGCTTTGCCTGAGCAGAAAATATCTTTGGACCATAAAAAGCCCTCTGGATGGGAAAAGGTGCATCAGAAGAATGTCAAAAAGAAATTTGAAAGTAGGGTCAATAGAAAACCCTGGGCAAAATCTGCCAGATTTCACAGAACATTCATTCAACAAACTGGGTTTTCCTGTGGTAGCATCTGTTACTACTAGCAGTAGATGCACCCAAATTGCTAGTGCACCGGAGGTGCAGCTCTTTGCTGGCTTTATTATTGTGCAGCCCCACAATGGTGGTAGGATAGGCTTTAAAAGTTTAAAAATTTAAAGTTTTTCAAGGACATTAGTGAAGAATGCAAATCAGGGCATGCCTGATCAACCCAGGAGTTTAGGTGATGATTATTTTAAAAAAGAAGAAAGGATGTTTGGCTTTTTTTTTTAAATGGGGTCTTTGGTAAAAATTAACCTTCTACTTGAGTGTTAAAATAGTTCTTTTCTACAGCAAGGCATAGCCCTTCCACATGGTTCACGGGCCTCCCATTAGTTTCAGCAGAATCACTTTGTGCATATCCACAGGGCAGAATTTGGCCCCAGATGTTTCATAATTAAGATCCGTGGTTCGCACTCTAAGTTTGTGTGTTGGATAACTCCCTGTTAGCATTTAAATAGCCACAAATGAGGTGTCACGTTAATATCCTATTAATCCTTCCACTCTGGTAGCTGGGTTTTCTTATTGTAGCATCTGTTACTACTAGCAGTAGATGCACCCAAATTGCTAGTGCACTGGAGGTACAGCTCTTTGCTGGCATTATTGTTGTGTAGCCCCACAATGGTGGTAGGATAGGCGTGTGCTGCATTGTTTCTGTCTGATGAGGCTTTTTTGTGTAAGATTGTCAACCCAATCTGGTAATATCATGGGGGGGGGTCATGTTAAAAGGTCCTAACTTTGCATTTAGATCTGATTATTCCTAAGGGAACTCTGTCCTGCAGGATTAAGAGTTCTCTGCCAAAACATGTTTTGCATATTTTAAAATTCTGCATATTTTGTCAATACATAAATGTGGACGTTCCAGCATGGCAGTGGGGAGCTCAGACTGCTGGCTGCTCAGAGGTGGGATCACTCTGCAACACCTATCCACAACAGAGTTTAGGCAGTGAGGCTGCATTCAGCCCTGACAAGTGTAAGGAGCAGGTCTTCTCCAGAAATACATGGGGCCCTCCCCCTCCATGCCAGGTACACCAAGGTAGTAAGGAAGAGGAGCAGAGTCTCACACGCACACCCAACCCTGGCCCCCAGCCAGATGTGGAGTGAGCAAGCTCTGGATCTAAGTGTGGAAGGACTTAGGGTTGGGGGAAATCCCGATGTGTTGTGAGAGGGTTCTGTGTGGGGCAGTTTGGATTTAGGCAGCTCAGTGAGGATCTGGGTTTGGAAACCAAAGGATCTGGATGCTTAGGGGCTTATTGGGGAGGATACCAGGTGCAGGGGGGGAATGGGACTCAGCAGGAGGATCCAGGGGGAAGTGGTTGGAGCTTGGCAGGAAGAGTCTACATGTGCCTGAGCAGGAGTGTCTGGATGTTGGGGGAGTGGGGCTAGGTGGGGTGGAGGGGCTACAGGTGACTCATCAGGGTTGTCCAGGTGTGGGGAGTTCATTGGAGATGGGGTTTTGAGTGTGGAAGGTGTGGGACCTACATATTTAACACTCTCCTGGTGCTTTTATTTAGCAA